CTTGAGGGGTTTTGCCCGGACGCCGGGTTTCCCCTCCATATGTTACCATGTTGGTATTTTCTGATGTATCCTGGGGCGTTCTTGCCCAATTGATGGTTAGTCACTTGCGTGAAGAACCAGGGAGGGTGTTCGTGAGTCTGCGAACATTGCTGTTGGATACATGTGCTGGATGATTTTGTGTCACGCAGACTGGTAAGATAACCGTTTGATAGGGGGCACCGCGATGATTCACGGGGCCCCTCCTTGCTGTGGGAGCCGCTCTTTGAGCACTCCCTCTTTCGTCCGTGTGAAGGACGGTCGTCTACCTCCCGTGAAGTTAATACATCACCAAAACAGTCTCACCCGATAAATAAGTGGCGTAGGCCGCAAACACTGCCCAGTCTGTGCTTGTAAGAAAAACACGCCTGGGAAGGAGTACTTATCATCCGAGACAAGGCAGGATGGAATGTGTTGCCATCAGGACTCCGTCGCGAAAGTCACGTAGCTACACGGACGCGTCCACTACTTTTTAAACCACGCATAGTCCATGCCCCACCGGTGGGGTGGCTAAGGCCAATCACCCCACCAGCAGTATCTCACCGTTTAAGACTCTAATCGAAGCACAAGCGCCATAATTAGAGCGTGCTGTTCATGCACTCACCGTGTACACCACACAGGTACACAGTACACAGCGCACAGCACACCGCACACAGCAGCTCTGCACCACTGCACCACTGCAGCACAACAGGCTAGACACACGTCACAAGGGGGGGTGGGGGGCTGTACAAAAATCCCGCCGCATGGGTGAAAACCTGCGAACCTGCGGTCGCTGTGATCTGTTATGCGGGACCACTACTCCAGAGTATCAGCACCGAACCCGGGCCCATTCAATACGCCAGCGTATCTATTAGCGCATATCACCGGCAACATCCATGGCGAACTCTCAGCTTCAGGCGCTGGCAAAGGTCCGTGGGACGCTAGACTTTGTCCTACACCCGTCTTCTCCTGACACGAGTGGCATACCTGTCGAAGATGAGAGGCTGCAGAAGGTGACGGAGTGCGTGTCCAAGCAGGACGATCCCGTTGACGGCGAACTGCTGCCAGATGCGTCCAAGGTGTGTGCGTAAGGTCGGGTCCATGATTGATGCTCCATGCGCAATGATCGACGAAAGAGTCTTCTTTTTTTTCACCAGACTGCAAACGGACCGCGAACGGACTGCAAAACCGCACTGCAAATCATCTGCACGACGTTGTTGTATGGAGATGGGGTAGCAGCCTCGTATCGGAGGAATTGAAATGTGATGTACTCTTAGCAGCATGGTCAATTCCATCTTGTAGGTAGATACTTTTGTGCTCTGTTGTGCCATTCGTGCTCCATACGTGTCGCTGGTTTCATGCGGGGAGGAGACAGGGTAAATGCAGGCATTCACCAAATGTCAGTTAGGTACATGGTGAACTTACAGGTACGCTCTCCGTTTCATAATTAATTCATGATCAGTTTCATTATCGTAGTGTTCTCAACATTGACGATAAACTTGATAGTTTTTGGCCGTAACCTATCCTCCTCGATTCCCGTCCAGACCGCAAAGGAGCTCCAGGCGAAGGCCTGTTTAAGGGCAAGTTCACCGCGGCTCTCCTAAACGGGGTTAAACCCGAAGATGGTGGGGGCGTGGGCACTCCGTTCGAGAGCGAGGGCAACGGCGACTGCTTGTTGAATTCTGTGGCGGCATTCCTTGCCAAAGAGGGAGGTCGAGGAGTCAGAAGTGCAGTGAAGACAATGGCGGTGAAGCTTCGACTCAGCGTCGTGCTGTACGGGCTAAAGTACATGGAGCTATTTCTGCTGGAGCAGGATTACCATTTCGGGGCATGGTACAACTACACGACGGATGTGCGGGAAAGGCTGGAGAAGAACGGGTGGCATGTGGTGCACGTCGACAACAACTGGCACGTCGGATCGTCAAACTGCGCGCGGCTGATGTTCCTTGCGCAGCTGCGGAGCAAAGCAAAGCCTGGGGCATGGCTCCAACAATTTGCCTTTCCGATACTCGCCACAGTCGTCCAATCTCCTCTGCGAGTGTTTCTGCCATGTGAGTGTGTTAGCTGGAAGGCTGGACGCGTATAGAGTTATTTAGCACCCATTGTCACCGGTTTGGTATCGAAGTAAGTCCATCCGAGGCAACAGCTCATCGCTTCGCCGCAACACGCAGCAACACTGGTCAGCTCAGACAGTGTAATATGATCGTATTGCGGTAGGATCGTTGTCCGTCCTTGGGTGCCTGACGATCACCCGCCCAGTTTTCACGCACGAATTGGACGAGCTATGCAATACCCGAAAGGACAAGGAAAACGAAGGATAATGGGTGGGGTACACGCTAACGACAATTCCGTGATGTCGTTTTCGGAATGCATTTCGTTACCGTCTCCACTCGCGCTCGGTCTGTTGCAGTCAACGCCTTCACCAACGCTCAGGGAGGATCTTGGAAGCACATTTTTCAACCGGCGTGGGAAACGGCGCGCAGGTCCACGCTCCACGTCGCCATGACCACGGGTTACAGCTCCAGTTATCATCCGCCCTTCGACAATGCGACTGGATACCTAGAGTACGTGGAAAACCAGCTTCCCGAGCTAAACCACTTCGTTACCGTGTCCGATGACACCGCCATCGTCGCGAAGGACCGCGCTGTAAGGAAATTCAGGATGTTGAAGAGTCAAGCCAAGGAGGCGGTCAAGGCCTCAAAGCGGCAGGTACAAGACGCTATGCTTGGCCCAGAGCTGAACGAATTGACGGCGGACGAGGAAGAGGACGTCCACCGGAGGCTGACGGACGCCAAAAATAGCGTGAGGGTTCGGAGCTTTTACTAGGGTTAGTGATGAAGTTGTATTTTCGTTGGGACCACGCATATTCGCCCACCTCCCCGAGCTGTTTGGCCACGTACACGATGATCTTCCGTACGATTCAAAACGATGTATGTGCCGAGACGTAACGTGGTTGATGTCCACCGCTTGCTTTGCCTGTGTTCCTTGCGAATCGACAGGCCGAATCCCACTTCGAGAGGTGCGATGCTCACTTTGAATGCATCATTGGCTATCATGTGGAAAGTAGCTGCAAGAATTCCGAGAAATGTGCGAGGGCACACTGGTTGCTGGTCGGGCCGGTGGGGGACTCTCGGTTAGCGTCGAGTACGTTCGAAAATATGAGTGAGAGAGGCTCATCACAAACCTCGTGATCTTGCCCCACCCCAAGCGTACTCAGGGAACCCCAGACGCGTGTTCTGGCGCGTTGGACAGAAGGAGACTATTCGGCGATAACCATTCCGTGACATATTTTCCCTCGCCTCACCTCATCGTCATTCGATGAATATTCGTGTGTTGGCGGAGACCGTTTCAGTGTGCGGAGCATGCCGCAGAAGAAAACGAGGAGGCGTTTGATATCCGCGTGGTGAGCACGTCGAAATGCGGTGTGGTGGATCGAATCTCGAGTAGGTTTCCCCAACACTTGCACAGCGGTTTCGCAACATTTCCGCAAGTATGCGCATTACTTGGTGCGCGCAGCACACATCCTCTGTGACACATATCGGCGTATGTGTATCTGCTTCAACACGTCGAACGTCTAGAAGTCACGATAAAAAAAAAAGACAAGCAAACTCTTGGACCTTGTCAGCGCTCGTTGAGTGATTGAAGCTCCAAGTATATCGTGCCCTTTTGCGACCAATGTCTTGTCGTGCACGTCGGAATGAGGCAAGAAAAGAAGCACAGCAGAAAGCGGACGCCGCTGCTGAGGAGACCAGGTCCTGCGAAGAGCAACAAAAATCCCGGAGCACCAGTAACGTGGACGGCGGCAAGGACGGCGCGAGCAAGGAAGCGAAGCCCGCGAACGGACAAGAGTCGGAAGGAAAACAACATCAGGGAAGGGGAGGGAAGAAAAAGGGTGGGAACGGAGGGAAGACTGGTGGTAAAGGGGATGCCAAGGCGGGTGTCGATTCCGCGAACGGGC